AATTTGTATTAGTGATCGATTTACGCACTTTTCAAGAAAACAATATTGCTGGTAACGGAAAACGAATTATGAATACTCAAAATGGTGTTTTACTTGAAATTAAAAAAAGAGTATATACAAAAAATTTAAACTGCTACATCTATGTTGTTAGTGATGCTCTTATTCAATTTGTTAATAATAATTTACAAAGTATTCAATACTAAATAACTAGTAATATATAAATGGATACACCCTTTAATATGATTATTGTAGGCATGACAAATTGTGGTAAAAGTTATTACCTTCTCACAATGTTAGAAAAAAACTTTAATAGATATTTTGATTATATTATTTTAATATGTCCAACGCTATCATATAATAAAACCTACCAAGAATGGAAATATATAAATGATTCTGATTTAATTAAAATAGAATGTAACCAAGATCAGATAGATGTTGTTTTAGAATATGTTAGTGATGTATATAAAGGTACAAATAGTCTTATTATTCTTGATGATTGTGCTTCTAGCTTATCAGTTAAAAATAGAACATCGGAATTAGTTCGTTTAGCTTTCAGTGCTCGTCATTATGGGCTTTCTACTGTTGTGGTTACTCAGCAATTGACTAGTATTGCTAAACCTTATCGCGAAAATATAAGTTATTTAGTTACATTTTATAATACAAACCGCAATGATATGAAAACCATATTTGATGATTATTTTTATGGTGTTGAGAAAGTTGATATAGAAGAAATAACCAAAAAATTGAAAAATAATAAGTATGCATATTTAGAAATTCAACTTGTATACCCATACCAATGGAAAATTGTTATTCCGCAATAAAACATGTGTTATATATATATGCCAAAGCGTAAAGAGCCTGAAACAATTGATGATATAATTAATGAGATTGATTCCGCAAATGATACTATCAAAGATTCTGTATGTGATGATAATATACAAGATAAACCGCAAGAAAGTTTTAATAAAAGAGATCAACTACTTAAACTAGCTGAAGATGGTGATTTAGACAAGTCAGTTGCTTACATTAAAAAAGCTAGTCAAAAAATTATTGATAAATTATACACTGAATACGAGAAAAAACGATTACAAAAAGCTAATGAATTTTTAACTGATTTAGTTATATCAAAATTTTCAGATATATTAAAAGGGTTTGATGCTATTGAAGATTCCAAAGAATTAACAAAACAGCTTAAATCAGACGACCTTTTAAAACGAGATGTTTACAGTTTAGTAGAAAAAATATCACCAATATTACCTTTTTTAGGGTTTTTATCTGGGGGTATAACAACTGTTAAACATGTTTACGAACATAAAAATAATAAACCGGATATAAAATCTGAGGAATAATATAAATGAGCTTATTTTATGGGCATGATAAAACAGATATTAATGTAAATATACAAGGATCTGTAGATAAAACACATCTATCAGATAATTATTATACTAAAACTCAAGCTGATGGTAAACTTAATGACTACTATACTAAAACACAAGCTGATGGTAAGTATGCTTTGATTTCTAATTTACTAAAATATTATACTAAAATACAAGCTGATAATAAATATGTTTTTGTTTCAAGATTAGCCAACTATTATACAAAGAATGAAACAAATGGTAAGTATGCTTTAAGTTCTAATTTAAATAAATATTACACAAAGACTGAAACAGATGGTAAGTATGCTTTGACTTCTAATTTAACTAACTATTATACTAAAACACAAGCTGATGGTAAATTTAATGATTACTATAATAAAACTCAAGTTGATAATAAATTTAATGACCACTATTATACTAAAGTACAAGCTGATGGTAAATTTAATAACTACTATACTAAAACACAATCTGATGGTAAGTATGCTTTGACTTCAAATTTAAATCAATATTATACTAAAACTCAAACTGATGGTAAGTATGCTTTGACTTCTAATTTAAATCAATATTATACTAAAACTCAAGCTGATGGTAAATTTAATGACTACTATACTAAAACACAAGCTGATGGTAAGTATGCTTTGACTTCTAATTTAAATAACTATTATACAAAGACTGAGATTGACAGCAGAGTAAATGGTAATGTAGTATATTATAGTAATCAATTAAATTACAACTCAAATGTTAGTAGCATACAAGATATTATAAATATTCTTTTTAACAATATTAAATTTATTGAATTTACACTTCTATTTATAAATCCATCTGATAAATCCAAAACAATTCAATTAGATATTATGGTAGATAAGATTAATAAAAAATTTATCATTAAAATAACAAATGATAACGAAAAAAAGATAGCTGATGCACTACTAGATTTATATTACGTATACTGTGTTGATGATAATATAAACAATATTTCTATTATTATTGCACCAAAAGTATCTACAGCTTCAATTAATTATAATGAATGGGCAATAAAATGGAATAAAGCATTTAATGGATTATCCAAAATACAAGTTTATTCACAACATACATCTATATTGTCTATGTTATATAATGGTTATTCACCAAATTTTTCGGCCATTATAGAAGACAATATTCTAGCAACTAAAAAATCTGTAAATGATGAAATCGAAAAATTAAAAAAATTTATTAAAGATAACTATCAAGCTAAGCCTAAAGATGAAGGTGAAGAATAAACTGTTTGTAACAAGTAATTAATAAAAACGGTCTACCGCATATATACCTTTTATAATAACTGTTTCTGGAGGTAGTTTATAAAAATTAAATTATTAACACTTGATTATTAACACTTGATTATTATACATGCGCTGATGAAATGTGCTATTACATTAAACAACCATTGTTAAAAACATGCACTAAGACACGCGCGCTGCTACTGATATTTTAATAACACTTGATTATTAACATTTGATTATTAAAGACGGTTTTTTGAAGAGCATTTCTTAAACCTCTGTTATTCTCGAATATTCTTCGAATATTCTTCGAATCTACGAGGGTGAACCCCGATTTTTCACTTCGTGAAAAATTTCCCCACCGGGGGTTCAAGAATTCTCGAGGGCTCCATTCCCCTGCTCGAGCATTTCATGCTCTGCGCTGCCGAGCCCTCTCCGAACCGATGCTTATTAACATTTGTTTGTAAAGACCGTTTATAAAATTTAAACGCACCTATATATTTCAAAAACATATAGATTCTATATTTTTAAACAATAGATTGTAAACTCGAGTTTTTTACCCCCTTTGAAACAATAACTTTTTTACATGGCCTTTTATTGAGGACGCCTTTAAAACATGGCCTTTTTTACACTGTTTTGAAATAACGATTTTTACACAGCTTTTTTACATGATCTTTTACCAGAGGGACGTCTTTATACCATGATCCTAATTTACGCTTTTATACCCACGGGTGTAGTAGTAATATACATGGAGGATTCGAATACATAAAAAGTAAACTTTTTATGGATTCGTACCCCCATGTATATTACTACTAAAATGAACTTGCCAAGGTAGAAATGAATCCAATATATATTAAAAGAAATATGTAAAATTATAAATAAAATAAATTGTAATATCCAATAAAATATAATAAGGAAATATAGTAATAACACAATGAACACAATTAACGTTGTTTTTTAATAAACTACATTAATTTGCCTTTAAATTGGCAATTTTTGAAAACATTTGTCACTCTTCTTCGAGTTGACGAAATTTTTCTGGCCAAAATAGGGCATGTTTGTTTAACATGCCCTTTCTTTTTGCAATATCGACACATCATTCCTAAAGAATATTAATGTTTCAGATTGTTATATTAACAACAAGAGTCTATACTACAAAAATGTGAACCTACTTGCTCTGCATTCAGTTATGTGGTGGCCAAAAAGACCACACTTCTGACATCTGCCTATGGAAATTGAAAAAATTGTAATTCTTACAACAAAGTATTTAACAAATTATGATATTATGTACCATACCATGAAATTTTTTTCTTCTATCTGTAATGTAACAAAGGTAATACAATGTTAAAATATTATTAATCAAGTAGGGTCATAAAAAATTTTTATATTTCAAAACATTTTAAACATATTCAGTAGAAAAATATTAATGTCATACTTTGGGATGGACCACCACCAGTCCCCACCACACTTGTAGTGCTTTCTTCTTCATGTGCTGCAATTGGAAAATATTGTCTATTAAAATATAAGTTATTACAACAAAGTCTTTAATGAATTGCAATATAAAGTAAATGGTTTGAACCAGGGAGTATCGTTACATGTTTGTAAATGTAGATCGTCCAGGTTGGTATAGTCCTGAGAAGGACTGTTTTGTTGTTGTTGACTGATGTTTCGACAACCTTAGGTCATCTTCAGAGTCAAATGACTCTGAAGATGTAGGGTTAAAAATATTCAGTATATATTCAGTAAATATTCAGTAAATCAATTAGGGTTAAAATATTCAGTAGAAAAAGATTAAAGTCATACTTTGGGATGGACCACCACCAGTCCCCACCACACTTGTTGTGCCTTCCTCTTCATGTGCTGCAATTGAAAAGTATTGTCTATTAAAATATAAGTTATTACAACAAAGTCTTTAATGAATTGCAATATATTACATCATACCATTAAATTTGTTTCTTCTATCTGTAAAAGAATAAAGTATTACAATAATATAAATCAAGTAGGATAAAAAATATTCTGTAGAAAACGATTAAAGTCATACTTTTGGATGGACCACCACCAGTTCCCACCACACTTGTAGTGCTCTCTTCATATGCTGCAATTGGAAAATATTATCTATTGCAGACTTCAAATGTATTTGAATGTTTTCACTGTAAAACCTAACATTTCAAAAATATAATAAGTATTTTACAGTTTGCAGGACAGACTAGGGTTGTCATTCTTATTTCTTTGTTGTTTATTTATATTTCATTTCCAATTTCAATATGATTGTACTGGCACTACTGGAAGTTTTTTTAGTGGTATGAGAATTGGTAGAGATACCATAGGATGACCACATGACTTTTTCTTTTTGTGGTCTCTTTTGTTGGTCTGTAGCATCATCAACTTCTGCAAGTATATTAAGTGTAAGAACAACAAATAGTTAAACTGAAAAATATAACTCACAAAACATACCCATTACACGTTCGTTTTTCTTTCCTTCTGCCACTATACAAAGAGATTAAGTAATTTCTTTGTATAAGTTTATGTTTAACATTAGTATTTGAACATATGATTTATAAACAAAACAGTAGCATGAATGCTTACTTCTCTTTTATTTTAACTGTGTTTGCGAGACTAAAAAACAAGCACCACATCGGGCAAATTGCGGTTTCTTTCATCAATTACCAGATAGACGACGCAATCTTTATTGTTTTATTCATTTGACACTTCAAGAGTTCTTCGCTGCATGGTGTATTGTTGATGATTGGCAAAACATCGGAAAATTTTTGGATGATAATGTGTCTGATCCTAAATGGCATTTGGTAATAGAGTTTGTTGCTGGTTTAGTTGGAGACAAGAAGAGATCTGGCAGCATCAGAGATACTAAAACAATAGAAGATGTTGAACAACGGTAGGGTCTTTATTTTCCTTTCAAGTGTAGTTTAGGTTATTGTCCTCGTTGAAATTTGTTTACACAGGTTTTAGTCCTGTTCGACAGGAAGTGCAGGAACACTAACTACGTCTACTACATATGCACAGTTTGGTTGTTGGATTGTTATAAGAAATCGCAGATGTTTTATATAAAGCTGGCGTGTAATTATATAAGGCATAGCTTCATGCTCTTCTGCAGAGAGTTGTTTCAGTTTTGAAAATGTCGCTGGGTTTCAAAAGAGGTCTGTCTGTTTAAAAACAATGTTTCTGCCTTTTTTTACTAAATTTGCTCTTTGAAGCTGACGCTGTTATCATTGACGCAACAATCTAAAAAAAGTATAAAGGCTTAGGCCTCTTACTTAATTTAAAGCGTGGGGTGCAAAATTTATAACATCTGTTGTGTATTATTTACGCCACACAACGCTTTCAGCCGAACTATGGGGAAGTAAGAGGTATGTGGCATATCACGATTTTGACGGTCAGGACAAGGCTCTTACATTGTAGTAAATATATGTAATATTATACTATAATTTATTAATGTTATGCAATCATAAATATTTTATATGAATGATGCAATTACAGGCTAGATCATAAATTTGTAATATGATGATTTAGACAAATGTGTTCATTTCACGAGGTTTAGCAGTTAAGCAAGAAGTCTGTAAAATAGAATTATTTGATTGTTAGCAATCTATATCAAATAATCACTTGACTGGCTAAATTGCTTTTCTTATTTCTGTACATAGTTTCGACAACCATTTTGTTGTAATGTTTGATATTTCACTTTATAGGATTGATTTTGCTTGCTTAACTCATGTAACCATTAAATAAAGTTCATGCCTTCGTTCTTGTTTGTTTTCATTAAATGATAAGATTTGGGTTAATCGGTTGTAGCAAATGGATTGTTTTTTAAACCTTTCCAATTAGTTATTCATATTATCGGCTATCCATATCGACTTACTGTATATTTTATTTGTAAATGGAAGAATTGGATATCAGGTGTTTATTATTCCAGTATGTTTTTAAATATATTGAGATAAGTTGCGAAGGTCAGCAGGGCAGTGTAAACCTTCATAAATAATGTGTCTTACTTTATTAAATTTATATGTTATGGTGTCTATTTTATTAGGTCATATTTCTTACGTCTTGAAATCTGACTACTGTATTTGAAATCATAGATCTGCCCTTGTATGAAAAGTCCTAAGAAATCCAACTTTGGGAACATGCTAAAATTTACGATTTTTTTGCTGATGTAAAAAAATAAAATACCAGCATGCTTAAAGAATTGGCGAAATTGACTTGTCACGTTTATTGAAACAAATCAAATTAAGAGAAACGATGATGTATTGTGAAAGCAGTATGTTTGAATTTATGTAATATGTGAAATATATAGATTAAGTTGTTTTTAATGTTAAAATAGTGGATAAGAAACGATGTGTTTTGTCACACAAGTTTCTCAGTTAATACTGGTGCAACATGCACTATGACGCACAAGACATGAAAACATTACATGTACAATATATCATTAAAACTATTTAAATGCTTTCTTCATTCTACGTTTCTCCTGATTTGACAAGATTTTTAGTTGAAACGGATAAACGCATCGCACTAGTTATAAAATAAACAAAAACACGACGCAAATTTTTTCCAGCTGGAAAAAAAACGTAAGAGTTAAAAACCGAATAATCTTTAATTAGTAAATATATCTTGATTTAAGTTTGATCGACTTGGTGTTAGAAACAAATAGAGGAATTTTTACTTTCTACTATTAAGCTAATGACTGTAATTAAGTCTACTTCATCGACTTTAAAACAGTGTGCAGTTTTTTACTTACCGAACAATTCAAATAAGATGTACCCTCTCTAGCTGTGCTCGACCACAGAGAGAATAATCTGCATCAGCTAGCTAATTGCTTATTATGCCACAATACGTACGCAAGTATTAAGTCTTTGATGAACGATTGGTTTATAAAAAACTTTTGTATTTAACATTTGCAGGTTTACATTTTGGATCTCACATTTATTTTCCAATGACGGCAATAAAGCAATTGGTTTTCTGGGAGTAAAGTGCTTATACGAGTTGCAAGACAAAGATGTCATCAGGTCAGCATGTACACAACTAAATAAGAACTATTCTCGAGAAATGAAGATTGAAGATGTTTCTTTTACTCCTGTTGATTCGAAAGCATTTTTCGAATTTCTTTCTGAATGCAAACACATAAATGAAGTTGTGTTCCATTCGTGTGAGTTTATTGATAATCATGTCTGCCTTGCAATGAAAAAGTTTTTATTAAACTGGACAGGCGACAAATTACTCTCTTTGCGTTTTGATTTATGTGATTTTAGTCGTTATTTTTTGAAATATCTCAGTGAAACTTTAAAATGTGGTATTTTTACATTCACTGCATCTAGGAACTTGATTAATCTAGAAAATGAAGGTGCTAAATATCTTAGTGAAGCATTGAAATTTGAGAATTGTAAAATTGCGGATTTAGGTATTAAAGACCACGATTTAGGTTATGAATGCGCTAAATATCTTAGTGAAGCTTTGAAAAATGAGAATTGTATACTTACTGAATTGCTTATTATGGATAGCAATATAGGTGATCAAGGTGCTAAATATCTTAGCGAAGCATTGAAAAGAGAGAATTGTAAACTTACTCTATTAATTCTTGAAAACAACAAGATAGGTGATGAAGACGCTAAATATCTTAGTGAAGCTTTGAAAAGTGAGAATTGTAAACTTACTCAATTGGATATTTATAAAAACGATGTTGGTGATGAAGGTGCTAAATATCTTAGTGAAGCATTGCAAAGCAAGAATTCTAAATTTACTGAATTGGATCTTCATGACAACAAGATAGGTGATGAAGGCGCTAAATATCTTAGTAAAGCTTTGAAAAGTGAAAATTGTAAACTTACTAACTTAAAACTTTCAAACAACAAAATAGGTGATGAAGGTGGAAAATATCTTAGTGAAGCCTTACAAAGTAAGAATTGTAAACTTACTGAATTGGGTCTTAGTTCTAACAGTATAGAAGGCGAAGGTGCGAAATCTCTTAGTGAAGCTTTGAAAAGTGAGAATTGTAAACTTACTAAATTGCCTCTTTATTATAACAATATAGGTTATGAAGGTGCAAAATATCTTAGTGAAGCATTGAAAAGTGAGAATTGTAAACTTACTCTATTGTATCTTGATAACAACAAGATAGGTGATGAAGGCGCTAAATATCTTAGTGAAGCTTTGAAAAGTGAGAATTGTAAACTTACTAAATTAGATCTTGAAACTAACGAAATAGGTGATAAAGGTGCAAAGTGTCTTAGTGAAGCTTTGAAAAGTGAGAATTGTAAACTTACTGAATTGTCTCTTGAATATAACAATATAGGTGATGAAGGTGCAAAATATCTTAGTGAAGCATTGAAAAGTGAGAATTGTAAACTTACTCAATTGAATCTTTATTGACAACAATAAAGGTGATGAAGGCGCTAAATTTCTTATTGAAGCTTTGAAAATGAAAATTGTAAACTTACGGAAGTGTACTTTTCTGCTTACAAAATTAGTAATCAAGGCACAAAATATTTTAGTGAAGCCTTAAAAAGTGAGAACTGTAAACTTACTGAATACTTAAGATTGAACACTAACAACGTAGTTTGCAAACGGAAAGGCCTAGTACTTAAGCTTGGCCAACCATTGTCTATTAAGAAAAGATTCGTTTGCAGTGGTGTACTGGGCTCTGACTTGCTTCAATTTAAGGTCCTTTAGCTTTTTACTATTAGGGGGAACATAAAAAGTATACCCAAAATATTTTATGATAATATATTGTCATAAACAGCAATTTCTGCAGAATTTAGCTACCCTAAGCTGTTTTTAACTTTGCAAAATAATTCAGTGTTGTAAAAAGAACAGTTAATCCATTTCCAATGACTTCGACACCTCTCAAAAGTACTTTTAAATGTTAGTTTGTGCAATGCCCGTTTGCCTGCTTTAATTTTTATTTCTCAGTAAGGGGGCCTTACAATGGGCTCATATGCTATAGCGCATGCAATTGCTAGTAGAGCAGTCCAAGCCTGATGCATACCTGTTATCGAAATCTAATTTATGAGTAATATAGCCATGATTTTCTTTTGTTTGCGCAAATTGTACTAGGTACGCTGTAGGTACGCAAGCCACTTATATTTTGCTTCGTAAAATTCCACCTCTAGCTAAAAAGATTATAATTTTTTTATTTATTTTACAGTAAATGAATAATTGGAACTTTCATTTTATGGAAACGTACCTTCATTTTACTTCATTTTGTAAAGTAAAAGTATTGTTTGATTTTTAGATAGACAATTTTCATTTGTTTGTTTTGTTAATTTTATAACATTTATGTAAATAGTAAAAATTGTTACAAACAATGATAGACTGAAATGATGTTGTAAATTTTTAAGTAGCCAATGAAATTTAAATAATAAACATAAACACACGAATATTTTTATAAAAAATCCTTTTCCTGATGACAATTCCGACAACATTCATACGAACGCAAAATTTGAGTGTTTATTTAAGAAAAAGTTGTTTTCTTGTAATTGTATTTTGACTTCATTTAAAAGTCACTGACAACAATTAGCTTTTTACAAGCGTCCTTCGATTTTTTAAAAATTTAGAAACAGAATATTACGTCAGATACTTGCCACAAACTCTATCAGGTATAACAAAGGAGCAAAGTTGAGAAATGAGTTTTTTACTATCTGCTCATAACAAGACTTCATCATTTGCATTTGACTTCAAAAAAAGTATGACCGTATGGGTGTAGAAAGTCGATAATTGAGATACAGTGTAGTGAATATACATTAGGGCCACTCCATTGAATTTTTTCGTGCCACGCATACCTTTTTACCAAATTACCCATGCGATTAACATAGTCAAAGTCAGTCAATTGCTTTTTTTGACCAATAGAAATGATAAAATAGCTAACGGCAGCTAATAATCTAATTAAATAAACAGCAGCCAATTACACACGAAGTGGACCTACTGTATATCCCTATAATGTGATTGAGAGAAGGGCTAACATTCATGAATAAATAGTAAAAAGTATTAATTTCCATTGAAGTCGATGGCTCTCTAAGGATTATAACGTGCATATTTGAATATGAGCCCCTCCCACAATTATCAATCTTCCTATAACTATATATGAGCAAAAAATGTCAAATGCTTAAAGAGCCATATAGTATTAAGCCAGAATTTTGTTATAATGCATGCGATATATACAACTTTTGTAGCTATTTATAAATTTCCTAAAAATCATTGTTATAAAATATATAGGCAACAACAAAATCATAAGCGTATCTTTGCTTTACATAACAATCTATTCTTTAGATTATTTAAATTCCGTGACACAAAATAATTTGCTTGTTATTAACTCAAAGAATACAGATGATGGCTAAGTTCTAAGAACGTTTTATTTTCAAATCTCTAAGTTTAAGCCATTAAAAAGTAAAAGGTTTTAAAGACAAGATACACTTACTGTCATTCGCGTTTATGATGCATAAATTTTATCATATATGTAACTTATTCACCATCTAGTAAGTCATTATACACTTTGAAAAAATTTAAGTGTCGCTCTACAATGCTGTAAAAAATATCTTCTATAAATAACCCGTATGTAATTCTGTTATTGTATATCAATCAAACGCAGTTACAAAGACAAACAACAACAGATTGCTCACCAAAAAAAATCGCTCTCATCTAAGAAAACAAGGTAATTTTGTGGTGATGTGTTGGTTAAGGAAGATAAACTGCTATTTTTGTTTATTAGTCGCTCCGTCCAAAGTCTTATTTCAACATTGTGATGGTATTAAATGACATATAGCTGACGAAGCAAAATTAATTTCGAAGTTGCAATTCTACTTATAGAAGTATAGAAATATTGATCAGCAAATTGGCCTTGCTTATAATCGCTCTAAATGTATTTTCCTTGTCGAATTTATGATTCCTGAATTTAGATTTTTGCTAATTATAGTTATATTAAAATTGTTTTATGATATTAGGAGTAATAATATTTTGATTTTAAAGTTTTTATATTGATTTTAATTTGTTGTTAGTGTAATCGAAATGACAAAGATAAAAAAATGTGCTTAAACTCTTTTCTTCATGTCATTGACACAGAATAGAATAATATTAAATTATTTTTTTTATTCGAGCTTTGGTTAAATATCGTTTGTCTCACGCTGATGTGCTAATATAAATTGAAATCACTCTTTCTAATCATCTTCATAAAAGGATATTACTTCTATTTTTGATTTTAAAGTATTTATAACGCTTTTGATGTTATATGTTTTATGACATTATACAGTATTTTCATTTCAAAGTTTTTATAAGGTTTTCTGATGTGTTATAGGAACAATCATTATGACAGAAAATAACAAAATAAATATGCACCAACTATAAAGTCATTAACATGGAATAAGAGGACAGTTATTTGTATTCCAGCTTTTAGTATGCAATGTATCTCTCTTGCTGATATGAAAATGTTGAATCAAATTGCTTTTGCTTTGCAATCGACTTTAGCAAGACAATTCAAAACATGTGCACTGCAGAAAAGTCAAACATTCATAGAGTCTTATTGTAAGCATACTTTATGATAATTCGCTAAAATTTACAATTTTTTGTATCCATTTGCACGAAAAAATTAAAATGAAAAAAAATACAAAAAAATTTATAAGCTTTATCTTTGCTATACGTTACAGTCTATTCTTAAGATGATTGAATTCTGTGGCACAAACAAAATAATAAGCCTCATTTTAAATTAAAGAATACATCAGACATTTAAATTGTCAGACCTTTAAACATAAAAACCTAAAAGCTTAAACAGTGTCAACTACTAAATAGTTTGTCAAACAAAACTCAAAAAATTACCACGCCTGTTTATTATGTATATACTTATTGTGTAAGTTTGAAAATTTGTAATCCAGGCATTGAATATATAAAAGATAAAACGTTTCTCCGGATTTTTAAATGATTTTTTATTGAGCTTTCGACTCGTTGCTTCGAGCCTTCATCAGAATGAAAAATATTATTTACACGTGCTTTTTAGCTTGGAGACGTTTAGAGCGTCTAATTGGATGAGTGGGTGGATTAATGTGATTGGATGGAGTGAAATGCGTTGCCATGGGTTTTTGTGTGTTGTTAATATGGTTGGTGTTCATAATATTGGGGTGTAGTTTTTTAGTTTTGGTGTTGTTTGTAGTTTTTTTGTCCTTTTTCTTTAGTTGTGAGTATATGATGGGTATGTCGATATGTCTGTTTATTGTGTCGTTGTCTTCACTGTACCAAGCTTCCTTAAATTCGCGTGCGTGTTTAGTCTGTGCGCGTCCGAGTACTTTAGTTTCTGTCCAGTCGAATGTGTGATTGTTTCCGTGGGTATGTTCTGCCGGTAGTGAGTTCGGATCTCGTCGTTTTATGGCGTTTTTGTGTTCTGTGAGTCTTGTTTCAATTTTCTTAGATGTTTGTCCTATGTATTGTTTTGAACAGTCTTTACATGGTGTCATGTAGATCGCGTCAGTTGTATCATGAATTGTTGTTTTGTCTTTATGTTTGGTGAAACATGATTTGAGTTTTTGTGTAGGTTTGTGGGCGACGTTAATATTATGTGGTCGAAGAAGTCTGGCAGTCATTTCTGATGTTCCGTTTATGTATGGTAATGTGATGATTTTTACTGTTTCGTCCGGTTTTTTGTTGTTTTTGTCGGTTTGTGTTTTGTTTTGTATTTTGTATATAGTTTTGTTTATGAAGTTTCTAGGGTAATTGTTTTTAATAAATGTGGAGTATAAGTACTTGCGTTCTGTTTTTTTGGCTTCTTCCGTATTACAATGAGTGTTTATCCTGTTGAAAAGTGCTCGAATGCAGCTTATTTTGTGTTGTGTTGGATGATTGCTGTTGAAATCGAGTATTTGGTCTGTGTGGGTGGTTTTGCGGTATACTTGTGTGTTTAGTGTACCGTCATCTGTTCTCGTTAGTAGGATGTCGAGGAAGGTAAGTTGTTTGTCGTGTTCTTCGTCTTTAGTAAAGGTAATGTTCTTTGTGGTATTGTTTATGGTGTGGAGGATTTGTTCAGTTTTGTCTTTCTTGACTATGGCAAAGATGTCGTCGACATATCTTTTCCATAGTCTGATGTTTGTGTTGTTTGTGACTGATTGTGTTTCGAGGTGTTGCATGACAGCTTCTGCGAGGAAGATGGATAGTGGTGATCCCATTGGTGTGCCTGAAATTTGTCTGTAGTATGTGTTTTGGAAGGTGAATTCAGTGGAGAGGCAAAGGTTGAGTAAGTCTAGGATGTCATTTTTGTCTAGTTGTGTTGTAGCTTGCCAAGTTTTGTCGTTTGTGAGTAGTTCGTTTGTAATTTGTTTGGCAATGTCTAGTGGTATGGATGTGAAGAGTGATGTCACGTCGTAGGATATCATGATTTCGTCTGGTCGTAGTTTAATGTTTTCAATACTGGCGAGGAAAGTAGTGGCATTTCTGATGGTGTGAG